AGAATCTTATACTAGAAACAAGGAGTTAAAACAGAAAATTAGTTTTTTGCTTCGAAATAATGCAAATCTTTTTCAACAAAATAAAAAGTTGAAAGCTGAAAATGATTACTTTAAAAAGAGTGAGACTACTTTACATTTTGAGCTTGATAAAAAAACAAAACTTTGTGAATTGTTCAAAAAGGAACAAGGTGATTTGAAAAGAAGAATAGATGGTTTAAATGAATTGTTTAAACACAAGAAACAAGTCTGTTTTCAAAAGAATAGGTTGAATTCTAATTCCAATGAATTTGCTATCCACAGGAAAAGGCAAGTCAGATTTATTAAACCCGTTCATGTGAATCACTCCTTGATTATGTGTAATTTCTATTGTAAAAAAGGTCACATGAAAAGTGATTGTTATGTGAGAAAGAATATAAAAAAAGGCATAAAATGCATGTGGATAGTTAGACATGATACTAACTCTAACAAATAGGAGATTTTGTTAATCATTGCAGTGATTCTTGTTCATAATGTTTTTTTTTTGATATTTCTGATACTTTGATCTGAATTTTTGAATTTTACTGAATCTGTATGATATCAAAAGGGAAAGAAAAGAACAATTCTGATCTAAAGATGATTGGCTTTGTCAAAACTCTCTGTCATATGTTGATACTTCTTTTGATATCAAATTCTCTGTGATATGTTGGTGATTGCTGTCATTTTTCTGTTTTTATACTCTGTTATTGTTGTTGGATTATGATAGTTGATTTTTTTTTACTCTTATCTTATGATGACAAAAAGGAAGAGATATGGATGCTATGTGTAAGGGGGAGTTTTTCTGAAATTATAAGTTTGGATGTAATGTTTGAGGGGGAGCTTATACTTATTTTTGTTTCTTTCCATCCATTGTTTTGTCATCATCAAAAAGGGGGAGAATGTTGATCTTGATCCCTATTTTTTGATGTTTACAAAACAAATGGATGATACTAATATTTCTTCAAGATATACTTTCAGTTTTGAAGTTATTTGATTCCATGAATAAGTGCAATTGAAAGAAGACAAAGGTTGTTGAAAGCTGTCGGACGCTCAAAAAGACAACATCGGACGTCCGACAACCATTGAGTATCTTCGGACGCAGAAAACCAGCCTACCGGACGTTCTAAGGAATTGAAGAAAAATTTTCAATTTTACATCATACATTCGGACGTAGAAACCAGCCTACCGGACGTCCGAAAGAATTGAAAAAAATCTCTTAAACTCTTTGCCTGCTGTCGGACGCATAAAACAGGGCTATCGGACGTCTGACACTGCCAACGGATAGTTGACTGTTCAGCTACTTTCTATCCATTGGAAGTATTTATGAGGCACTTTGTGACAGCCCCACCTTCCCCTAAGGCGAACCAAAGAGGTTAGCGGACTGCCTGCCCAACTCTCGCCAGGACTAACGGTGCAGTTTAGAACGATCTATTGCCTTCGTGAACTTATAAACGCGCGTAAACAAGGCAAAAGGACAAAATAACCCAACATAAAAAAAATGAAATTCGGAGTCGGCCATGAATAGCAACCAACCCGTCAGAACGCAACCAAATATCGAACAAACATTCACATCTTGAACTTTAGTAACTACAATCCAAAGTGACATACAAAAGTTGTCAAAAGTGAATATATACACGGTTTGCCAAATTGAAAGTGAAAATGGCCCTAAAGATACATTTAGGGTCCCACTTCATATACAATACAAAAGAGATATTCATCTAGTTCATTCAGCAACCATCTATCAAGATTCATTCCAAAAGAGTCATATTCCTGTAAGGAAAACAAAAGGAACGTGTGAGCTAATTGCCCAGTGATATACTATCACTTACGCAACCAATTGCATATAAGCATCAAGCTTTCATTCAATATAGTAAAATAAGCAAAGGCACACGTCAAATATGGTGATAAAAGGATACAGATGGCTCTCAAGAGCCCTTTCCTCGTTTGCATTTCTTGATCGAACGTCATTGACTCTCCGTCAATGTTCAACAACAACCAACCGTAGACTCCACTTTACTTCCATTCCTTCCACCTAACATTCCCCAACCGGGCCCGAAATCCAAACACTTGCATTGTGGTATTACTCGAGTAAATCGGAATCGAGAGTTTCTCATACTATAAGATTCCATATAACATTGCCCCAAGGCACATTAATTGGCACGACCAATCCCTCGCCGGCTCGATTCAATCAATTACCAATGGGGTTGAGCTCAAGGATAACAATTGTAGTCGTTGGAGACTCGTCCAAACGACACTAAGTCATGTATTTCATTTCATATAACATTTCATATAACATTCCAATAACTTTCCAATAACATGCGAAACAATAAGTGAGAGTGATAAAGTACACTCTCATTTCAATCAATTAACATTCAAAATCTCAAGTTCAAGTATCAAAGTCATATAATAACACACAAGTGAGTAGTACACTCACCAAGCTCGCAAATGTGGTTTCATCCACTTCCGTCAAAAGAACGTTGTGCACCACGGTCACGTCCTAAAACATGCAAACAAATACAATGAGACTCGATAACGAGTCATAAACCAAGGCCAAACATGACCCCAATAGGGTTCCATAAGCATATACAAACATTAAAGAAAACCAGAAATTTCGGAAATGTAACTAGCTTTGGCCCTGAAAAAAAAATAGTTTTTGTCCTCCTTTTGCGGTAATGGCACCAATTTCACTACGATTATCGGATGAGGGTACAAGATCCACCATTTCGAAGCTAAAAGATAGGGATACAACATCACAGAAGGTCACTCAACCCAGTTTTGAGTGCAAACAGGTAAAAAATGCAAGATACTACATCAAAAACGTAAAACAGATTCACCAAAACGCATTCTAGCGGAAACCTCATAACTCAGGCTCTCCAAGTCCAAATCCAGAAATTCCAAAACCAGCTGAAATCTAAGAAACAGGGATAAATTTCATCAGAAGGCCTCAACAACCAATTCGGAAGCAATTCCAGCCAAAACAACCAATTACAGGCGCAATTCTTACATTCAGGTAAAACCAGAACAGTAATAGTAATTTCGACTTTTCTCATTCTATACTACTCCGATTGACCTGAAATTTTGTAGGCACCTCTAAAATGTCATTCCCTACAACTTTCATGTTTTAAGTCAAGGCCAATTCGGCCTCTAACTAGGAGCTAAAAATTCAGGCAGATTGCTCCCTCAAGAATCCTAATTTTCTGAAATTTCTTCCAAACCAGAAATTGGTTGCAATTAATCACTTTTTCCACCTCCTAGAGTCATTATATACCATTTCTAATCATCATAGATAGCCACACAATCATGCTTATATTAAAACAGAAAAAAATCCCCAAAAATAATAAAACTTCATCACTTCAACCACAAATCAAGAAATAAACTATAAACTTGCATCTCATACTACCACTAAGCATGATTTAAGCATCAATTAAGGGAGGAGGGTGGTTCTTCACAACTTACCTTAAAACAAGAGAGAGAGAGCTATTGGACACCTTAACTTTCCAAATAACTTCACACAACAACTCACCAACACCTCCTTAAGTGGTTTTATGGAGCAAAATCAAGGTTGGATGGTTGGTTTGATGATTTGGAGCAAGCTTGAAGAGTTTTCTTCCTTGTGCTTAGAGTAAGAGAGAGAGAAAGAGAGAATGAGAGGGCCGGCCACCATGGAGGATTTTTTTGATGATTTTTGGGTCATTTTTAAGCTATTTTAACCAAATTGGTAAAAGGGTGAATAGTGTTCAAAAGGGTCAAACCACTCCTATGGTGACATTTGTCACCTTTTAATAAATACTTACCTACCTTTTCTCTCTTATACCAATCCACTTAGCACCCTCTACTTATCTCTTAATACCCGGTAAATTAATTCCAGTATTCAAAACTTAACCTAGTTGGCCGAAATTTTTCAAACTTTTCGCACTAGTGGGTCCCACGTCCGGTATACGCTCTTAATTTCTAAAAATCCATTCGATACTAGAAAAAGCATCTAAAAATTATATCTGCTCCTTAAATTCATCTAGAATTTTTCCTAAGCACGAAAATGCAGAAAACAAGCCATAAAAATACGAGAAACCTAGAAAATCAAAATTACGGGTTCTCACACACTTTCTTGGCTCTATATAAATAGTGGTTGGTCAGATATTTTAAACAACTTTGGCACACTGAAGATACAAAAGATCTAGAGAGATTTTAGTGAGAAAATACTCTTCAAAGAAGATTTGTAGTCTGAGTGGTTTGAGGTTCATTGTAAACTTTTCATTTGTGAGTGAATACTTCATGAGTGTAGCTCTGTGAGGGTTATCCGAGTGATAGTAAAACTTTCTCGCTTGACCAAGTGCGGCTTGGGGCGAGGAGGAAGTGATCCTTCCTTTGTACACAAGAGTGATTGTAATTCATCAACTTGAAGTAGCTTGTTTGAATCAATCTACAAGCTCAAGAGGAGTTGGGTAGTTAATTGGTTTGCAATTCTTTCCTTTTTATTTACTTATTCTTACGTTTATGATCTTTAAATTGTTTATCTCTTCTACTCACAAGCACTTGTGCTTTCTTATCAACTGCTCCATTGTGTGGTCGCCTAGAAAAGGGTTGTTTTCGGGCCTTATATAAAGTAAAATAAGAGGGAAATATACATTAAGGTTTCAAAAGTAGGAGAAAAGTTAAAGCAATTTTTGGGTCCTCACATGATTTATGTGGGATAAAAAATTGATTAAATAATAAAATAAAGTGGAAAACATGTTTGTAGAATCACAAACATTTTTATTAAATACAGTATGTAAATATGGAATAAAAACACCAATTCACATTTTATTGATTCGTGAAAGTGTTGTGAGACTGTAGATACGCAAAAATTATTAAAACCAATTCCTTTTAATTTATAGGTAAAAATAGAAGCACTGAACAACATAGAATTTTGGAGATATCTATAAGGCATTTTAACTCCAAGGGTGTTGCCATCGCTTATATGTTGGGGACTGTGGAAGGCTCGGAACATGGCGATGTACGACGGCGCAGCAGCGTCACCGGCACAGGTTTGCAGGGAGGTACAAACTCTTTTGCTTAGCATATCTCAGGTTCGTCCTTTCGTCCAGGTGGCACGGGATGATAGGGAGCTGGCCCACTTGGGTATATTACTTCGCATGGAACGGAGGAAGTCCGTGCTGCCCCGCTGGATTGCATGGTTGCGGCCGCCTATCGGGTGTATCAGGTTAAATATTGATGGCTCTTCTTTAGGGAATCCAGGACTCTCTGGAGCAGGAGCGATTTTTCGTGATTCAGGTGGTAACATCCTTTGTGGCTTCTCGTGGTTTTTGGGATCCCGGACAAACATGGAAGCGGAGGCCATGGCATTACTGGAGGGTTTGTTACTCTCCGCTACTTTTCATTCTTTGCACGTTGAAATGGATTCTTAGGTATTGCTGAAGATGGTGAACGGCGATGGTGCAGTTCCTGGGAGATTAGGGCTTACTATCTCGCGTATCAAATCTTTGGTGCTCGGACGCCAGATCACTTTCACTCATGTTTACAGTGAGGCAAACGCGGTTGCTGATGCCCTGGCGCGCCTGGCAAGCACCACGCATGTTTGTCAGTCCTTTCCCCCCTCCCCTTTGCCTGCCCACATACGGGGGTTAGCCCACCTAGATAGGATACAGATGCCTTATGTCCGTTTGCCTTAGTCTGACTGGCGGTCTGCTAGCTTCCTTGGTGTACGTTAATGATCATTTGAATAACATTTGGAGTGGCGCCCGCCCCCATAACTGGGGTTAGCCAATGAAAAAAAAAACATTTTTGTGTTTCACCATCTTTTATGTTTTACTTTTTTGTGTCATGTGACTCAATATTTTTTTCCAATAGGAGCTTTATATTCTAACTTAAAATATAGCAATATCCACAACCACCATTTATGGGCATTAATGTCATTTTATCCAAATTTTGATACAAAGCTCATCATTAATGTTAATATTTGAATAATCAATGTAGGGGGTAATGTGTATATATTTAGAGTTCATGGGGGCAAAGTATTACTAGAGGCCAAGTTCATGAAGACAATGTAATTAACCTTAAAATTTATATGGAGATGTGACGACCCCACCTCCCCCTAGGGCTTACCCCAGGGTTTAGCGGACCGCCTGCCCAACTCTCGTCAGGACTCACTCACTCACTTCAAGAAAATAGGTTGCAACCTCGAGAGTAAAAGAAATAACAGTTCCCAAGTTTGGAACGTACAAATACATTCATTTCTATTTCAATCATCCATACAATCCCAAATATATCAAAAGATATGAGTTCCAGATACATTCATCCCTAATCGAGCACTAGCGCGAGTACAATATAAAAAACTAGCACGAGTACAATATCAATATTTCAAAAACTAAATTATGCTAGCCTGTACCAGTCTCACGCCCTCGCTCGTACCTCCTGTAAGGAAAATAAATCTAATAGAGTGAGCTAAAGCTTAGTGAAGTTCCAAATAGCAAGTTGACCATTAATTAAAAGTACGAGTATTAAAGTAGCAAAGTTGCGAGCATAACAAGTCAAGAAAATGAGTAATAACACTTCAAGTAGCAAATATCAAAATGAGCGAGTGGAAAGTTTTTGAAAAGAAACAATAACACTACAAGTAATAATCATTTCAATGTATAAGAATACAGATGGCTCTCAAGAACCAAATTCCCGTTGCTTCACCATAGCTTGATCAAGTAGTAATTGACACTCCGTCAACTTCCAAGTAAAGTAACCAGTCCAGTAGTGCCCCACTTAACGTCAGTCTCCGTCCACCATTCAACCCTTTTATCGGGCCCGAACGTTCAAATAAATACGTGTTGTAATACTCGAGCATACCGATTAGTCGAGGTGGTATCACTCCACTCGACAAAACAAGAGACCCATGGTTCGTTATCTAATCGACCAAACCCTTGCCGGCTCGACCTAATACTTCTAATCATACACATTTTCTTACCTAATACTCATTCTTATCCACCAAATTTAATACACACACCTCACCAAGTGATCACACTACTAAAATGCACCAAAAACCCTAGTATGCACAAAAAACCCTAACTTATGCCATTCCTTTAGAAAAATTATAATTTGAGTTATAAATATCAAAAATTCATACAATTTGGCCCGTTAAAAACTAGACTTAAAACACTAATAATCTTTAGAAGACACCTCAAAGAAATTCAGCTCATAAGTTAGTCCAAATTGAGCCATAAGCTACTACAACATTCCTATGTTTACTTGTGTAGGGCAGAATTTTCATTCAATTTTGCCAAATTTCTGGAATTTATAGAGATTGAATCAAACTCTGAATTTTCTACTGTAGGAAGTCCTATAAGTCTAGTTTCAAGCGCAACAAACAAAACTCAATTCTGACTTTTCTATACGAAGTTATAGCTAATTTTCCAAAGCTGCGCAGAGCCTCTTGCGAAAATTTCTAGATTTTCTAACAACTTGAGATTATGAAACTTTTCTTAACAAAATTCAACCCACTTAACGTCAGTCTCCGTCTACCATTCAACCCCCTTACCGGGTCCAAACGTCAAATAAACGCGTGTGGTAATACTTGAGCATACCGATTAGTCGATGAGGTATCACTCCACTCGACAAAACAAGAGACCCATGGTTCGTTATCTAATCGACCAAACCCTTGCCGGCTCGACTCAATTAACTAGTCAGTGGGGTTTGGGTTCCCAAGTAGTCAACATAGTCGATGACCAATCGACTTAGTCAAGAAAAAAAGTACAGAGACGGGAATGAGAGGCACCTCCTACTCGAATCGAGTGTGGTACATGCTGCCGCTCAACACTTACAAGTCAAGCACAAGTACAAATACAAATACAGGTCAATGCAAATCAAGTTACTTGTATAAGCATGAATGATATATCAAGTGTTTAGTTGAGTTAGGTCAAGTACGATAAAGTACACACTTGCTCGACCAAACCAGGCAAATCTTATCCGATCACTTTGGTAAAGAATTTAAATCAAGTATCAAGTTCAATCATGTATTTGGAAGCACTCACCAAAGGTCTAGTGCTTTTGAAAAATCATGTTCAGGTCCAACTCCTTGGTTGGAGTCCAAATCTGCGATAAAATATCATTTAAGAATGTAAAATTCTGTAGAGTTTGAAACATAGAAGTTTCGCTTCAAGAAAGTCAAATAAATGAAACTTGTTTAAGTGGTGATTATATGGCTTATCAAACTCTACAAAACTCATGCTCGCTCTTTTAGTTTCGATAGAGAAGTGATTTATACTCTTAAAGTCACACTTAGTATGACAAATCGAGAAAATCGTATTTTGAAGGGTTGCTATTTTCACTTTTTAAAAGATACGAGTTTCGGTCGAATTCAGGTCATATATTTCTACTAACGGTAACTTGACTACCGTAGACAATCCAAGTTCACTTCGACTTCAAATCGTTGCTCAATTCTCAAGTTCACTCGCCTAACCCTTGAGCGAAAATTTGGGCGGCATGCCTTTTGTATTTCGCTATTTTCCAGCCATTTATGGCTTCATTATTTTCCTCAACTCAGCCCAAATTCAACACATGAGCAAGCTTAACAAAATAGCTCTTCAACTAGGCTCAATATCATCCAAATGCAAGTCAATTCTAGCAATGAAACCACCAAGACCAAAGCTGGAAACTAGTATTAAAGAAGAATGTCTAAGTGGCAGGTTTGTCATCTTTCGGCATTTTGGTCACAACTGAAGTTACACTTATCGGATTGGGTAAAATGTTATGGCGTTTCGAAGATAAGAGATAGACCTAAATTTCCTATGAAGACATCGACATCCAGTTCTTGCATTTTCAAGGTCAAAAATTGAAATCTTAGAGAAAATAGAAAGCTGTCGGTTAAACAGGGCATTTGGGCAGTCAGGGGTATTTTAATCATTTCACAAGATACAGTGATCTGATTGAGCTGAAATTTTGTAGGTAGATATTCAACTCAATTCCCTATAACTTTTGAGTTTTGAGCAAGAACTTATTTGGCTTTTATCATGGACGAATATGCAGTTCAAGTGGGTTCCAAAAACAGGGCAGAATCACTACCAAATGCTGGAATTTAACTTTTACTCTAAAAAAGTTACACTCAAGCCAAAAATCACTTCACAAGTTCCATTTTCAACCTTAATAACATCATTTAGTAGTTAAGAAACACTAATCAAAACTGAAAAGATGCAAACCCTTGCTAAACATGCCACTACTCCATCAAAACTAAACAATCAACTATCATATGCCAGATTACAAGCTTCTATAGCATTTTTAGCTAGATTAAGTTAAAGACAAGAGGTGGATAAACTTGTACCTTCCCAAAGCCTTCTTGTAAGTGAAAACAAACCAATCTCTTCCAAAAATTTCACCACACCAAGCTTTCCAAACACCAAAAGGTAAGTTTAATCGGTTTAGTTTGTGTGATTTCAACTCAACAAGGAAGAATCAAGGTTGGAGTTGAAGTTGTTTTTCTCTCTTTTTCCTTGTCTTAGTTTCGGCCAACATGAAGAAGAATTAAGGAGAAATGAAGCCAATTTGGTGATAAGAAGGAAGGAAATTGGTTTAGTCAAAGTTGGTTGGATTTCTGCCAAGTGTCGCTACAAGATTAAATCTCAAAATTTTCTTTTCTCTCTCTTCTTTTAGTCCAAATTTTTGGCTGTCTTAAGGAGATATTTAGGGTTGATTTTGCTCAATTAATAACAAGGAAATTAAGGTAATAAAGTAGTGTTTAAGTGGTGCACTCAATCGGTAGCAAACGGTGCGCGTCGTTTCAAGCCTATTTTCCTTAACTCGTACTTGTGTTTTAACTTCTGATTCACTAACTTATTATTAACACTTCTAATCACACACTTTTTCTTACCTAATACTCATTCTTATCGACCAAATTTAATACACACACCTCACCAAATGATCACACTACCAAAATGCACCAAAAACACACCAAAAACCCTAGTATGCACAAAAAAACCCTAACTTTGTCATTCCTTTAGAAATATCATAACTTGAGTTATAAATATCAAACATTCATACAACTTATCCTGTTAAAAACTAGACTTAAAACACTAATAATCTTTAGAAGACACCTCAAAGAAATTCAGCTTATAAGTTAGTCCAAATTGAGCCATAAGCTACTACATGTTTACTTGTGCAGGGCAGAATTTTCATTCAACTTTGCCAAATTTCTGGAATTTATAGAGATTGAATCAAACTCTAAATTTTCCACTGTAGGAAGTCCTATGAGTCTTGTTTCAAACGCAACAAACGAAACTCAATTCCAACTTTCCTATACGAAGTTATAGCCAATTCCCCAAAGCTGCGCAGAGCCTCCAGCGAAAATTTCTAGATTTTCTAACAACTTGAGATTATGAAACTTTTCTTAACAAAATTCACTCCCTTGGCTCACATTCAACCAAGAATCTAAGGCAAGTAAGTTCAAATAAGAGCTATAAAGACAAGTAAAATTTCGGGGTCTCACAGAGAATGGATCGTTGTAGGATTTATCTTGTCTAATTAACTCAATTGACAAATCACTACCAACTCAATTCTTTTGGCTATTGAGTGCATATTTTTGTGATGGGTCTTTTGTTCCACTCTCTGTTGCACTCTCTATCCTATTTTTTAGTATATTACTATTTGTATTTCATAAATATTATATTTTAATTCTTTTTTATTTTCTTACTAGCAAATGACTACCAACACAATAAAAAATAAATATGATAGCCTCACACAGCAGTATATATTAGAAAATGAGGAGGGGGAGGGCCGGGACGAGGTTGTATGGTGCCTGAAAGCCTCTGGTAGGTTCACTCTGGCATCGGCCTTTCAGGAAGTCCGTCAAGCTCGAAATTACTCGGTAGTACACTCTCAGGTATGGCATCCTCGAATCCCGTTGAAAATTTCTTTCTTCATGATGAGATTGCTATGGGGGAAGCTGCCTTTAATGGGTGCCTTGTGGAGGGTGGGGGTCCAATTGGCCTCAAAGTGTCTGTGTTGCCAAACGGGAGCGGAGGAGACTGTCGAGCATGTTTTCTCGGAGGGGCAGGTTGCGCGAGGAGTCTGGAATTATTTTGGTAGGATCTGTGGGGTGTCACAGCAAGGATCTTCACTGCAAGCTCAGCTTACAGCTTGGTGGATGTCGTCTCCTAGGTCGGAGAGAGGCCGGTTCCTTTTTTCTATCCTTCTCAGTTTTATCTGCTGGCACATCCGGAAGGCACGGAATAAAGCATATTATGAAGGGATTCAGATGCGCCTAGCGAGGATTTGCCATGACATTCTGCTTGACATGAAAGGGGTGGTCGAGGTCTAGTTTAACCAGCGGCTTGGGGTGCACACGTTTCTTTAGCTCTATGAGGGGATTGCTCATCCGCCACCGCGCTATAGTGTTCAGTTGGTGGGGTGGCGGCCAACTGAGGGGGGAACCCTAACCTTAAACACGGATGGATGTTCCAAGGGTAATCCCGGAGTGAGTGGTGGTGGGGGAATACTTCGTGATTGATCAGGTTTGCCATTATTCGCTTTCTCGGCCTACTTTGAGGAAACCTCGAGTTTGCGTACAGAAGTATTGGCCCTGGCAACGGGGCTCCGGTTGTGCATGCAGAGAGGGTTTAACAATGTTAGCATACAGGTAGATTTATTAGTCCTGGTCGGGATTCTTCAACGAAGGCTCCAGTGCCTATGGTGGGTCCGTAGAAAGGTCGAATAGATTTAGGGCATGGTTGCAGACATGGCGCAGTTTACTCATTGCTATAGAGAAGCAAACAAGGTGGCGGATAGCCTGGCAAATGTGGGCGCTGTTGGTCCTTACCGGCGTATCAGCATCTATGAACAGTTCAATGCAATGCCATGTGTGGCGTGCGGGGAAATTCGCTTAGATAGGCTAGGCGTGCCTTCGATCAGGAGAAGGAGAGTAGGCTAGCCTAAGAGAATGGTTTAGTCGGGTTTTTCGACTGTTGTGTATCCATTTGTTCGTTGGAATAAAGTGATCGTAAAGTTTTTTTTTGAAAAAAATATTAGAAAATGATAAAATATAGCAAACAATTCATAAAAATATCACATTTTTCTATTAGTTTGAGTTTTGGAGTTTGCCAAATTTTGTATACTCCTCAGTTAATAGTTATTAGAACCTATGGGAAAAAAAGAATTAAAATATGATGTTTACAAAGAAGAAATAGAAATATAATAATAAGTGGGACAAAGAATGAAGGAGGGTGTGGAATAGAAGATTCATTGTGCATGAAAAAAAAAACTTGGCTGAAGCTACTAGCTATTTGAAAGGATCTTCAATCTCACTTTCTATTTCTCTCTCTCTGTCCTACTCTTCATTATATTGTTATTTTTCCTTTATAAATATCATAGTTTAACTCTTTCTTTGTTTCCTTAAGTTTCAATCATTATTAACAATGTAATACACAAAATTTAACAAACTCAAAAATCAAGATACACAGAAAAATGAAATTTTTATGAATTTTCTGCCATATTTTGTGATTTTCTATTATATACAATTTTTTTAGACTTATTGTATTTCTTTTTTATTGTGTTAGTACTTTTTCAATAGTAAGGAACAAAAAGAGTTAAAATATGATGTTTATAAAGAAGAAATGACAATATAATAAGAAGTAGGACAAAAAATGGAACATGGAGTAGGACAGAAGAACAGTTGCACTATCTAAGCCACTATTTAAGTTAGGCATAAAAACTTCTACTCTAGTGCGATTCGAAAGCAAGGCCTCATCGGGAACAATTCCATTTTCCAGTGGCTTCCCAAACATGGATACTGACCATTTCATCTATTTCATTTCCTTTCCTTTCTTCAATAATGATCCAAGATTTTAGATGAAATAGTCAATTTTGATACGATAACATCATAATTTCCAAAACCTCCCTCAAGGTTTCTCTTCATAGCACTTAACATCCTTGAAGTTTCAAAAATATCACTTATCTTCTTTAATAATTGCAAAATGATTATATTAGCCCTCACTTTATACATAACACGGATATCAAATAAGTGGAATTCAAAAAATTTTTAAAAAATAATGGTCACTTTCTTCTCTTCCCTTTTTTTTTTGCAAGATTCTATCTTGTCCATTTTTTTGGATGACTATCCAATTTTTATTTTTGTAAATTATTATAAACTGAATTTTGTTTATCTTTTTCTTTTACTTGAATGATTGTGGTAGAGTACTGTTTGTGTCGATTTTTTTGGCTAACAAACTATTGCCGATAGGATGATGTTTGTTGGTGTGCCACCTAGTTTGTATGAGAAAAACTAGGAAAAACCTTATAAACGTGCATGTTTTGCGAATATAAGATTGTACTAATGACTTTTTGACTCCTAAAATGACTGCTGTTCATCTTGCCTTGAGTAGCCTCGGAATCTTAAAATTCGTGGCAGGAATAACTAATCACAAGGTAAGAAGAAAGAACAAGAGCCGATATCAAAGTGTAAAATCCATGATTTTTGGGATCATTTTATCTTGCCCAATTTAATTAAATGGTAATTTATTATGGGTAAAAGCAAAAATAATTGCAGGTTAGGTTAAATGGTTAATTAAGGGGTACGATGAGATAAAATAGGCTGAAAGTTCACTATAGTTAAAACTCCTATCTAAACTATCTACTAGTGGGTGGTTATTAGGGTTTAGCATACTTATCAAAACAAAAAAAAAAACCTATTCCCTACCTTTCATTGTCTGCCTCCCTAGAGCAAGAACCGTTGGAGAGGAGAGAAGGAGAAGCAGGCAACACCGTCAATCGATCTGATGACTAGGCACCTAAACCTGTAAGTCTTTAGTTCACGCAATTAAACCTCTCTTTTAAGTTTTAGTAGTTGTATTAATTGTTCTAGTAATTTTATGGACATGTATAATTGCTATATAGGTGTAGATATGTATGTTTTGATAAGATTCGTATCTGGGTTAATAGAAATAGGGGGGTTGATTTCAATCTTGAGATTATAGGGTGATTGAATCTGTTTAAAAAAAAAAAAGAAGGGAAAAGGAAGAGCAGCGGCAGCCATCACACAAAAAAAGAATTTGTCTTGGCTAGATGTTGCAGTAGCAACGCCGCACACAAAAAAAGAAAGGAAGGGGCATGCAGGCCGCCATCACTGGTGGCAGGGAAAAAGGATTACAAAGGTTGGCCTTTTGGCCAACCCAAGACCAGAAAACAAAAAAAAAAAAAACTGCCAGCATGTGCCGACGACAATAGGCCAGTAACAAGAGACGGCAGAAAGTCTGCATAAAGTCCTGGAGTCACAAATGACCCCAATGAAAGGATTGACCATTGGTCAACCAATGAAAGAAATGGTCAAAGATGGTTGGCCGATGGGTCCAACCCAAAAGGAGGGAAAAAAAAGGAATTGTTGTTTTTTTTAAGAATTGGAAAATATAGATATATATATATATATATATATATATGGTATAGGTTTAATTGTTGCCCAATAGTTGAACGTTAGATAAAACTAGCCTATCTTTTTGGACTAGCATAGGAACTAAATTTCAAAACCCAACTTTTTTTTTTTTTTTCACATAAATATGGTCTTTATTGGCAAAGAAAAGAGAAATTACATAGATCATGTGACTAACCTACCCTGAGACCGTACAGACTCTCACATACGGAGTTGACAACCTGTCTAACTGCAAAAGAGCCCGAACTTTAGAAGGGAGAGCTCTTTCACTGAAAAATCGGGCATCCGTTCGTAGGTCCGAGGAGGCCAAAGCGTCGGCGACCGCATTAGCCTCTCTGAACGTGTGAACCAGAGACACCCCCAATTTTGCCACCAAGCACCGAATATGCCTAATTGTGTTGCATAACGGCCAGCCAGCCGTCATCTTAACGGACACGAGATGCACTAAAGTACTAGAATCCACTTCTGCTATGACTCCCGTGAGATTGTTGTCCTGGCAATACCGAAGACCCTCCAGCAAAGCCAACGCCTCTGAGGAGAGAACGTCTTGCTCTCCAAACTCCTTATAAAAGGCAAACACTAAATTACCCTCACCCGAGCGCACCACCCCTCCACCACTTGACCGCCCGCTTACCACACTAGCATCAGTGTTGAGTTTCACCGCTTGCCCTGTAGGTTTTACCCAAGAAAAGGCTCGAAGCTGTATCAATTTGTTCTTAGCCTTACCGAATCTCACCCAGTCGCAATCTGTGTCCCCTTTGAAGAACTCCAACTTGAACAGGCCCCCCCTACCCAACTGCTCAACCAATGCGCACACCTGGTTGGTTACCTGATCTGACGACATACTCATCCCCTCAAAGCGGGCCTTGTTACGGCCCTTCCAAATAAACCACAAGATCAAGAGCGGGAGGATGACACGAATATGATTCTGTGAGACAAACCGGTGAGAAAAGAGCCAACATGAAAGCCTCGATGCCACCCCACTCCCCTGGAGTACCAGCCCAAAGCGGCAGGAGAAGTGCCGCCAAACCCTGCTCGCTAAAGGGCCCGAGACAAAAAGATGGTCTCCTGTTTCTGGCGCTAGGCCACAACAGTAGCACTTTGACGCTAACCTCAACCCTCTACCTTGAAGGAGATCATCCAAGGGGAGCCAACCACGCAACAACCTCCACACAAAGAAGGATACCTTCAGAGGGACCACCGAGCTCCAGACCAGCGAATCAATAACAGATCGATTACGCTTTGACCGAAGAACGTCCCAAGCTGAAGACAGAGTAAAGCTCCCCGAAGGTGACGCCGCCCAAATCATTTGGTCTTGCATATTGGGAAAAATACGCAGCTCCAAGATCTTCGACACTAAGTGCCCCGGAAGCAGCCTTCTGAGCCACTGCTCATCCCAACCATCAGAAAGAAAAAATTCCCCTACCAACCTGTGAGACTTAGGGCCTGGCACCAACCTGGCGAGCGGAACATCAGTACACCACCTGTCCTGCCAAAAGTCAACTAAGCCCTCCCCCAGACACCACCGGATATTCCCCTCCGCGAGGTCCCTCACCTCTATCAAACGGCGCCAAATTGGGGACGGGCGGTCAACTGAAACTAGAAGAGGATGCCCCCCTCTGACATACTTAACGTGCATGAACTCTGCCCAAATGGATGCCCGTTCCCTCAACTTCCACCAAAGCTTACATGAGAAAGCCTTAGCGACATCCTCAAATGGGCGAAACCCCAGGCCCCCTTCCTCGACCGGACGGCACACCTTATCCCAAGCCGCCCAGTGGATCCGTTTGCTTTCAATAGAGGTATCCCACAAGAAAGCATTGCACAGACGGCCTAACTGCAGCAGCACAGCCTTCGGCGGTTGGAGTACCTGGAGTTAGTAGACCGGAAGGGAACACAGGACACTTCGTAAAAGGACAATCTTCCCCCCCATAGATAGCATCTTTGAGCTCCAATGGAATAACTTTTGGCGAACCTTGCCCAGCAACGCATCAAACACTGCACATGTGACCCTACCGCGAATCATCGGCACCCCTAGATACCTGAACGGAAAAACCTGGCACTGGTACCCCAGGGTCGTGCTTACCAGGGCCCGCTGGGTGTCTGTAGCCCTAGCCGAAGCGTAAAAAGCACTCTTAGCAATATTCACCTTCTGACCAGAACAACTTTGGTAGAGCTGCAAAAAATCCTTAATGGACACCAACGCATCCTGCGAGCACCGAGTAAAGATGACCATATCATCCGCAAAGGCTAAATACGGCACTTTCGACCCAGCAGAAACGAAGTATCTACTGTCCTTGGAATCAAAAATCCTTTGCAGCCCTCTCCCAAGAAAATCCGCCACGAATAAGAAAAGCGCAGGAGAAAGAGGGTCACCCTGTCGCACCCCTTGAAATGACTTCACAAAACCCGTTGGTTCCCCATTAACTAGGATCGAGAACCAAGTGTTAGAAAACGTTCGAAAGAGCAAATCCACTACTACCTCTTCAAACCCATACTGCCTAAGCAGAAAAAGTAGAAAGGACCAATCAACCCGATCATATGCCTTCTCCATGTCCAGCTTCAAGATCAAATTCGGGTCAATCAACCTCCTATCCAAGTCTAAAATCAGCTCCTGTGCCAAAAGAACATTGTCCACTATCCCACGCCCCGGAACAAAACCTGTTTGCCATGGTGAAATGAGCTTCGGGAGGAGCTTGCTGATCCTGATGGCCAATATCTTAGACACAACCTTAGAGGTTACATTACAAAGACTAATAGGCCGAAAATCCCGCCAGTGGGATGCACCCTCCACTTTTGGGATGAGCACCACCATAGAGTGGGACCAGCTCCTGGGTTGCTCCATACCCTGGAAGAAGTCCTGGATAGCCATAAGCAAGTCATCCTTGACAATGTCCCAGCAGCTTTGGAAAAAACCTGCTCCAAACCCATCCGGACCCGGAGCACTCTGTATCTCCATTCCAAACACTACCTCATGGATTTCCTCCATCGTAGGAAGACGTTTCATAATCTCATTATCCTCCTGGGTGGCTCTAGGAACCTCAAAAGGAAGCTCAGTGAGGGCCTGTACCTGACGGTTGGATGCGAACAAGTCCGAAAAAAAGGATATCGCTGAGTCCTTAATCTCCTGCAGGTCTTCATGCCATCCCCCCTCCTCTTTCCTAATACGGGAAATGAAATTCGAGTTCCGACGCTGGCGGACCCAAGAATGAAAAAATGCAGTATTAGCATCCCCCGCCTGTAACCATTTAATACCTGCCTTCTGATGCCAAAACTCACACTCCATGGAAAGGGCCCGATTGTATCTCGCTCTGGCCTCATGAAGATGAATCTTCGACTCCTCACTTCTAACCAAATCGTACTCCACCTCCCTCTGTTTTACCTCCTGATCCGCCTCTGCCACCTGAGAAGAGACATTGCCAAAGACCACACGGTTCCATTGCTTCAATGCATCTCGCACCGTTTTGAGCTTGTTGTAGAATCTAACCATCCCCATGCCATAGACCTCCTTACTCCATGCGGCGAACACTATCTCCCGGAACTGGGGGTGCCCGCGCCAAACATTAAGAAACCGAAAGCAAGACGATGTAGCCCTATAGCCTGCACATCGAATCAACAACGGACTGTGATCCGATCTCCCTCTGGCCATATGGGAAACCCTAGAAAGCGGATAGACCTCGGACCACCGCCTATTCCCCAACGCCCGATCCAAGCGCTGCCAGACTGACCCATTAGTCCATGTGAATCGAGACCCATCAAAATCAATTGTAGATAGCCCGCATTTGAACATGGAAGCATTAAATTCTTCTATGTTCCGAACATTAGCTGGAGCCCCCCCTTCACGCTCCGCTGCCGAAGCTATGACATTAAAGTCGCCTGCTGCTACCCAGGGTTGATTGTGTGAGACCGAGGAAGCCACACTTTCCATTGCCTCCCAGAGTGGCCTCCGCCCAACCCTCGTGCACTTGGCATATATCGCAGACACCCAAAAGGATGCCCCAGAGCCAAAGGAAACGTGAGCATGAAGCATTTGCTCAGCGTACTCGACACAGCTAAATCTTAAGAGGCACGACCAAAACACCCATATTTTACCACCAATATAAAGAGCTGAGAAATCAAAATTTAAAAACCTCCGAACCACCTCCAACTGACACTCCGCAGACATTGGTTCTAATAGAAATAATAACCTAACCTTGTTATCGTAGCACAGCTTCTTCAGATAGCGCAAAGAGTCCCTTCGGGAAGCCCCTCTGATATTCCAAACTAGCATATTAATCGGATCTAACATGAGACCGCAATGAGTATGAAGCTTGCGCCAAGGGTACACACATGCCATTATCCCCCTTCCTTGGTCTCCCCCGTTTCCGTCTCAGAACCGTGGCGGCATCATCCTCCTCCAAGTCATTACATAAATCCCCTTCAAGAAGAGTTAAAGAGTCCAAAACAGTGTCAACACCCTGGACTGGTTGCGCCTTAGCATTGAAATCCCGTTGAAACGCCTTCAATTCTTCTAGCGAGACTGAGACAGCTCTCACACTATCCACTGAACGCCCTCGGTGATGGCAGTCCCGTTTCCAACCTCTCGACGCTGACCGTACAGGGCTCCTGTCTCGCTGCTCCTCATCTGCAGATTCACCTTCCAACTCTCCTAGAGCAGCAAAAGAATTTGTCACGCGTATGCTTCCCTCCTCTTCGGCGCCCATACGAGACCCGCCCTGCAGCTCAATCCACAGGTGACCAGCACTCCCGTGGCCGCACTTGTCATTCCCCATTCCTTCCGACTGAATAACTAGCCTGCCCTCCTTCCCCTTATCCCCATTACTCCCCAGACCCAAAGTCTGTACCATCTTATTGTCATCTGCAACAGGCTCCAGAGACGCTGCACTCACTGCCGCATCAGTCTGTTCCAATGCTCCTTCCGACTGGAGCAGCGCACAACCAGTACCAGCAGCCAGTCCTTGTTCACCGACAGCAGCCGCCTGCACACTCTCCCGCGACACCTGGTCCTGGCCAGGTGCCACCGCCAACTCCTTCCCATTCACCACTTTCGGAACGTACACTTGCCGATGTTTCAGTGTTTTTGCCTGGGCAGCGCGAGGCTGCGGATCCGGGCGCAAGGAAGGATTTCTATGAAAACACTGCTCCTCTGTATGGCCGAATCTGCTGTAGAACCCACAGTAGTCTGGCCACCCCTCCATCTCAACAGGCTGCCAGAAACCGAAGTGATCATCACCTATCCAAATACGACGCACAGGGGTCGACACTACGTTTACTTCCACCAATACTCTGGCTACGGACGGACGGCGCAAATCACACGTTGATGCGTCAATCTTGAGGGGCCTGCCCAACGTAGAAGCGAGCTTGATTAACTGGGATCTCTGGAAAAAAGGAATCGGCAATTCTGGGAAGCAAACCCAGATTGGAGCTATGGCTAACTCCTGATCTGCCTTAAATTCCAACGACCACTTGGAAATCGACATTGGCGAGCTGCTAACATACCAAATCCTCCGCGCAAAGAGACGGGTGTAGTCTTCCTCCAGAACGGGACGAATGAGAACGTGTTTCTGGTCGAGGAGGCCAACCTTACAGTCCCCTCTGAGACCCAGCGACAGAAAGAACTTTCTGATGACTTCCATGGGTGGTCTGTTGAAGGAGAAACGCCCCACCAACGAATTCTGAAACGGTTCCGAAAGCTGCTCAATTTCCCTACGAGAGATACGCAAAGCAGGTTCTCCTCTGAAGGTAGAGACCTCCCCTAAAGCTATGGCATCAGGTTTATCCGAAGCGCCTGCCAGAACCGAAGCAAAGGACCTCTGAACCGGAGACCCACTGGCCTGTGTGTGTGACGGCCCACAGGCCGCCATGTCCGGTAAGAAGATCTAGCCGCACCCTCAACCCTAGCCGCACCCTCAAAAACCGGTTGGTTACTTAATTCAAAACCCAACTTAAAGATAGCTTTCGAAGTAAAGTTCAGTTATTAAACTTATACTTGATTAATTACGTCCAATGTACTTAAATGAAAATCTAAAACATCTTAATCTAGCCGTATTAAGTCAAGTTAGATAAGGTAAGATAAATTCTAAATTGCTAAACGAAATGCTTAAAATCATAATAATAGTAATGCTAATAATAATGCTACTACTACTACTACTAATAATAATAATAATAATAATAATAATAATAATAATAATAAAATAATTAACAAGCAATATTAGTAAGGATAATAACAATATGGACATGGAAGAAAAAAAGTAAGGATGTAAATGAAGATAAAAATATGAATACGAGTGAAATAAACTAAGTCAATACTAATTGTAATAGGTCAATATAGATATATGTATATATATATGTACATGTATACATAAATAATAATAATGCCTATACATGCCCAAAGGTAGAAATAAAGCGAAAGACAATAGTAACTAATTGACAAATACATATATATATGGTAATAAAATAAAGTAGCGACGACGAGATCGATAATTGTAGACACCAAATTTTTGGTTTCGAATTTTACTTGTTTAATTAGTTTAATTTTAGATTTGTTGTTTCAATTTTAGATTTATCTTAGGGGTTTCCTGTTTCACGTCTCTTATTTTAATTAGTTTACGAACATTTATTTCATTTATGGATTCAAAAAGAAAAATCATAAAAAAAAAGAAAGAGAAAAAGTCAAAAATGAAAAAAAAAGAAGAAAAATGGAAAAATCGCAACTTTGATTGTTTATTATTTCTAGTTTGTTTATTTTTGTCTGATGTTTTTAAAATTAGTGTTTTTCTTTATTTAATATCATTTTTACATTTTTGTATTAAGTTAAATATTTTTCTTTTTTTTTAATTTCATTTTAGTTATTATTTAAAAAAAAAAAGAAAACCAGGAAGAAAGTGATAGAGAGAGGTTTTCGGCTGAACAAGGAGAGGGAGGTTTTGCCGACTAGGAAGAGAAGGAACGAGAAACACAAGGAAAGAGGAGGAGGAACTGTTGGAAACTTCCTTCATCGGCTGATTTCTTACAGATTGCATTGGCTTCTGTCACCCTTTCAAGGTATACTTCCAAGTTCCTCATCAAAGCTATTTACTTGAAGCCCTTGGATGAAGTCTGGCCTGTTTCTTTTTTTCCGTAAATCTGCTGAGCTAGAGATGAACTGTGAATCTTGTGTTCTGTCTTGTTTCCCTTCTTTTCTTGTCTCTGTTGTTAAGGGCTTTGTGGAAAAGTTCGAATTTTTCTGTTGATTAAAATCTTTTTTAGCAGCAATCTTGATAAAAATCTGATCTTTCGGTTTGCTGAAGGCTGGAATGGCTTGTATCCCTTTTGAATTTTCTTGCTTGTTGTTCGATGCTATCTCTTGTGCGTGCTTGTTGCCTTTTCAAGTAGCAAGATGCGGAAGCCGTGACTTTTCCTTTGGCTGTTTGAGTTTTGTTTTGTTGGGGTTTAGATACCATGATAGAGGACTGAGGGTGTTTGCCGTGAGTTTCATTTTTTCTGTTGCTGCATTCTTGTCCATTGTCTTTGTTTGAATCTTCAAGGCAGTTTATGTTTGGGTGACATTTGATGATAATGGGGGGTGAATTCCTTACATGCGATTTTTAGATGACAAGTGGTTAGAGCTTATTTGGGTTTTTCATGTTAATACTTTTATGCTAAGATAAGAGAAACAAGGGCTGCTGCATTCGGTCTTGCCTTTTGCTGTTTTTTTTTCTTGCATTTGTTTCACTAAATTTTGGCCATTCAACTTGATGTCTGATCTTATTTGGAGAGAGGAATTGGATGGGTGAAGATTGGTTTGAGTGGGCATGTTTGAGTCTAAAATATTTGAATCATGTTCGAGCATTTGCTGGAAAATTCATCAGGATTGCTGAACTATTCGCATAAAATTTTCCAGCATGAGCATGATGTATCTTCTATGTCTTGACTGGTTTGGACTTTGCATTTGTGTGTCATAATGTTTAGTTCAAAGTTTAGAGGTTTGATTGAAAGGTTTATGATCAAGGTTGGTGTTCAAATCTGAAGTGTTTATTTGGAAACATGGCCGCAGCAATTTGCTTGTTGTGAGAAGTTTCTTAGTTTCGGTTGGCATGAAGTTTTTAAATGTTGCATGATTTCCTTTTATGTTTTTGCTTGTTCGGATGTCCAGCTCCTGTTTTGTGTTGTTTAGTTTACAATTGGATGTTGGATCAAGAAAGCTTTGGGAAAGTATGACATCAATCTGAAATTATGTTTGAAAGTGAAACAAAGTGCAGCAATTGTTTGTTTTCTTGTTGCAGAATGTTATCTTACGTTAGTCTGCATGCATGCATGGAAATTGATCCAAGAACTTGCACTTTAACCCCCCAAGTCCCCCTTTGTTGCATTGTAGCCCAATTATATTGTTATTTCTTGCAATTGAATCCTAAAGTATTTGCAATCTGAATCATGACTTGACCTTTTCATCATCTTGAACCTTTAAAGTGCTTAAATGTTCTAATTGGACTCATATGACTGATTAAATGTTTGCAATCGCATCCCTTTTTACGTGATAACTTGCCTTGATATGTCTTCATGTGAATGGTAGATAATTTTCAATGGATTTCTAGGATAAAATCATGAAAGCTTAATGATTTGGAGGAATTTATAGTCTTGGTTTCGTTTGATTTTATTTTGTTTAGCTAATTTTGTTACTTAACTCTAATAAATAGTTTTCCATTCTTCTTTTATGATGGATTCCATCTAAAGCCATTCAACTTAGTACTCCATTTTAGACTTTTGCAACCTTTTATCTGGGACCGAGTTCACATGCACATGCACGGTTCATTCCATGTTTAATGCTCATTTCATGCCTAATTTCCATTCTTGTGTTTAATTTTTGTCTCATGTGATCATTTGATAATTAAAGTGGTACCTTGACCTTTTTATTATTTTGGAGGGTGAATTAGTAATTTCGCTTCATTAGGGCATTGATTCAAGGGAGGTACACTCTATCCCTTATCTCGGCCTTATTTGACCATATGTGACCTACGTGTTATGTGAATATGCATGTCTATTTCGCTTTCCTAGCCTTTCTTTAATTTCTTTTATTTATGCCATTTACTTTTGTTTTTTATTTAAGTTATTCTTTATGGAGTATGTGTACACCTCTTGGCTTGTAATAGTTAGGGATTTAATTATTTTATTCCTTTTCCCCCTTTTAGATTGTAGTAGGGTTTCCCTAATGTAATAGATAGGGCTTGGAGGAGCATTCAATGAAGACCTATCGAAGTCATGTGCCTAACTAGCAAATGTAATAGTTAGGGC